TAGCGCCGGCTTTAGGAGAGGTGGCGGCCACAATCTACATGTGCTTCTCGTGACGTGACATCTTACACGTAACTATTGCTTGTTTTTTCTGTTGAGTGCACTTTGAAAGGTCTCAGAAAGAATATTCTGCTAATATCAAACGCTTTGCATGAGACACGACCAGTTCATCAAGCAGGATCTTCACAAGGATTTTGCCGCATGGATCATATTTTAACCATAGCGAAGGCATAGAGATCAGTCGGATGAACTACTCGTCTTCAATCCTGACTTTTCAGTGCCATGGTACACAATGCAACATACTGTTATCACTTTAGGTCCATGTTCGTATGTTCAATTTCTTATCATGAGAAAGAACAAATGAAGATACAAAGTAAACACGCTCTTTCGATTAATCAGAGACCTCTTTTTTGGCCCAAACGTATCAAAAAAGCCTCAATGATAAGGTACTACTTGAACGCATATTTTGGATAGATGATAAATGTAAGTGTTTTCAAGGCACAATGCGAGAGCTTCAATGATCTTGCCTAATGGGACAACCCCTTGATCGCAGTGTCCATATACTGCCTTCTTTGTGAGAGCAAACACTATTATTTAGCTTGTACAACCGACCATCCACCAACCTCGGTATTGTTCAACAAGTATAATCTTGATAACAGGTTGTAAAATATGTTCTATCTTATTGCCTGAAAAATGATTTTTACACATGTATTTTATACGAATTTGAGCTCTTCAGAAAACTCGTTTTCTTAAGCCTCGAACAATGTATCCTTTGGCTACACAGCTCAAAATGGGGCCGTCTAAGGAAAAATTGTCTGCTGCGCCATTTTCACTAAGAATTTGGTGCCAATGCTTCTGAGGCTTAGCAAATCTGCAAGGTGTACGATCACAAAATTTGAGATGATCGTGCAGCTCAGGGTTGATTCAGAACTTTCCGTGAAAAAGGAGATCGAATGATAGACAAGCCAAGAGAGGAACGTTCACGAGCCGCCAAGCAGTCGTTAATTGAATCCAGGAAGATCCATCGATGAGTCGCCGGATACTGGCTGATTCTGATGTGATCCAGTGACGATTTAACACATTCTTCAGGAGACCGGTAAACGCTCGATGTGGAAGGAGATTATATCGATTATTAATTGGTCTCTTGCTAGAGCTTAGGTGGTGTACAAAAAGATTTTTTTATGCGTCTTGAAAATACTACAAAACTTGTCCTACAATCTATAGGACTTTTCCAGTTATTAACAGAACAGCGTTGTTATAGAAAAAACTTGCTCTGTAGTTCCGCTTACTCAAGTATTTATGCTATCCTTTATATGATACTATAGACCAACACAAACGCATTGTTGTTAGGGCATCAACAGATGTTTCTGAATAATTTGTGCGGAGTAGCAATCATTCTTTGAAATCAATAGATGACCTTCAGATATGTGATCTAACAGTGGAATGGCGCGCTCGACTGTTCGCATTTCAAATTCAACTTCAGTTTCCTTTAAATAAATGTGATAATTTCAACTAGATATTTTCGAAAGTTCTAAAATCAAAGTTAAACGATCAAATATATATATCGTTTATTCCTAACAACTAACAGTGAATTTCGAATTTTAGCCGGCGGCTGCGAAAGGAGAAGACAAGTGTTCACCAAACAGACCCGATGACAACATTCGAACCACCCTATTCACCATACCTTTCCATATCTCTCAACAACCGTAGTGATATTGGTGGTCTACACAATTTACAATAAACGAAATTACATAAGAAAGTATGCTGTGTAAATTGTAAGACAATGTAAAGTTGACAACTGTTTGGAGACAGTAGTCTTGATATCCTCACCGTGTTGGTGACATTATTGTAATGTAGCTGTATCCTCATGTGTATGACTAAGCAACTATTTTTTTCTCAAACATTTGTTCCCACTGCAAAAGCGAATGAATGCAGCACCTACCTGTCAGCATATTCCAAAGACTTGTCACCCCAGTGTTTTTGATTTTTCAGCTTTGCACTGGTTGCGACAAAATGGCATGAAAGTTTTTGATAGTTTTGAGATTACTGGACGAGCTATGTACGACGTTTTCATCGTTTCCTGATATGCACGGTTAAAGCGTCAAGGCTGCTCATTGGAAGTTTAATTATAAATTATTTGTGCATCTACTTTATAAATTATTTGTGCACCTACTAAAGATGTGTTGACAAGAACCCGAAGAATTATACCACTATCAGAAGGCGACTGATAAGGAAAAAGTGAAATCATCATTTTTCAATGGATTCATTGGAAAATAATGGCCTTTCATCATTTCAAGTTATAGACTGACTTAAAATTATTTTGACTAGAGTGCAGGTAAAGTATATTCCTGAGAAGGCCGAGATTACGAGCATAACTTGAAACCTAAGGGACTGCAAACAAGCAACCAACATTTCCAGGAGCTTACATCATTTCCATTCGACCAGCATGGGCCCAATCTGTATTTCTCTCAACCGTGTTTTCATTGCTTTCACTGCACATTGATTTTTTGCAGAGCACTAGAAGGTGTAACAAGAAAAGGACAACGAAAGCGAATATAGACTCCGGACGCTACTCAAGAAGAGAAGAGAACTAAAGCATGATTTCATTGCAGCGCACTCAACGACAGTTGAGAATGATTTTTGCAGATACATGTGCATCAGAACGGCCAAAAAATGCTTGACGCAAAAGAACGCGACTCAAAAACTGCTTCGGGATGTGAGAGTGTGTGATATTTTCTGCCAGTCTCTATGAATGAAAATTTGATCATCACAATATTCGTATGTTGCAGAATATGATGGAATATTCCGTTGCTCGTTACCATCCTGACCCAAAAATTCCGCCAAAGAACTGGATTTGTTTTTTTTTTGAAGTTCAAGTAACTTCAAAGACCAAGGAGGAAATCATGCCTCGAGGACTCGATGGCGTAACTTACTCTTTTAAGAGTTGGAAAACTTAATCTAAATCACTTTCGTGGCCCACTGTCGAAATACATCACGCAACATTATTCTGCCCCATAAGAGTAAATGAAGCAGCGAATATAAATATCGCTCGACATATCTTTCTATGTGCACTCTATAAGATGTTTACAAAGGTTATTCTCTTTGCTTTTGAAGAAAATTTGGAAAGCGCATAACCACTTGAGTAAGCAGAGATACGACAGAAATTTTTGCGCAGACAAGTCGTGTAGCGCGTCATAGAAGTCTAACCATACTACGATCTCTTCCTTTTCCACCGTTATTGATATTGCTCTGAACGCATGACAGCGTCAGAATAAACGCAATACTACCAGAATTGGTCAACCAATGAATGGGCCTGCCCTACATAAGACTCTAAGCTGGCTACTGTCGTAGCTGTAGAAAAAAATACACTCGTACTTTCTATTGTTCCATGAAGAAGAGTGTGAGAAGGCTACAGCATATCTACCGATGAGTGAAAGTAGAATTTCTGAAAATTTCATTGGAGGATTCAGAAACGGGCAGGTAGCAATATCGCTCTAAAGGCCCAGCAGTGTGAGGATGTAAGGAAACTGAGTCGGATCTGCTCATAGAAAAAACCGAAAATACCAAAGTATCAGGGTGTTTCATGAGGAGAAATAACCCTTTACTTTGTCGAAGTTACTAATATATGAAATTAGAAAGGAAAGTAGGCGTTTTAAGAACGCGACCGAAGTGGCACTGAGTTGAGTAATTTTTTCTTCTTTTCAAAGGTTTTTGATTTTTGTAAACGTAGATGTTTACGGAGTTCCTTTTATTTTCCGCAATTTCTCCACATGCGCAGACAGAACAAATAAAGCTGTTGCCCATTCCGCACAGGGATGACTCATTTCAGTGACATAATATTTGAGAAACCGATTTTCCCATTGGTTCAGAAACTTGAAAAAGGTCAACCGAAAGTATTGACATGTTGTTTGATATTTGTAAATAGATAACATGACCCGTCTCTCATTTTGCCCTCTCAAAGTCCTGTAGAAGTTTGTATCCACAACAACGGTGTCAATTGAACGTTGCTGTATCATTTTAGACAAAAAACTCCGCTACATTGCATTCTATACTACTTTAACATTTTCACCATTCTATACGAGTAAAAAATTATTCACTGTCCACAAAACTGCTGTTAAGATAGGTTGAACTTTGGGCTTCAAAAAGCCCTCCACGAACGGCACCTCCTCAAGTGATTCAAGTTTTTGTGAAAAGCATTGCATTGTATCCAATATTGCTAGGTGATATTCAAAACTTCGATCCTCGGGCAAGAGTTAAACTCGCGTTTCACTCTTGTCGGGGCGAGAGATTGAGACCTTCTGTCGCAGAAGGAGTGATAGCAAAACGGAAGCCTCGCTAGTGCAGTGGTTAGCGTGCCCCATCAAAAAGCGTAGAGCGCGAGTTTAAGTCCCGCCGGAGATTGAAGTTTTAAATATCGCTCAACATTATTGGACATGTAATTATGACATCATATCACTGCTGAGGAAGCAGTTAAATGGAAAATTCTTGTCGATTATATATTTCGAACTAACTTCTCTGCTCACTATTATTTTTTATTATTATACTATTATAATATTACTCACTATTATTTTATTCCGTGTGCGCTGCGAATCTAACCACATCGATTGTATGGGCGCTTGAGTCGGATGCCGACAAGTGGCAGCAAGCTAAGAGATCAATTTGCGCGGGAGGAACCGAACTCAGCACGCACACCCGCCGCGATCGATCGAGCGGAAAAGTCCGCCTCGGTGAGGAGCGATTACCAGGCGGCCCCATTTCGTTCCACACCAGTCGCCTTTCGTCGTCGTGTCATATCATATTCTATACTATCATTGGTGCCGCCTATCTGATAGACATTATTGTTGATTGCGTCTCATTATTGCATTCATGAAGATAATCATGTAGATGCTGTTTGTAAAATATTCTCACCCATAGACATTGATTTCTGCGACGGAGCATTTCCAAAGACCTAAGAAGATTGAGTGGTTTGCAGAAATTCGACCTCAGTAGTTAAACCCGCATTTGACCCATATCATGGTGTAGTGGTAGAACGCGCTCCCGTTATGAGTGAAACGTGGGTTCATTTCCCATCTGAGGTTGAATTTTTTGCCTTCCGCTCAATCAACAATATACTAATGCTAAAAATTATTCAAACAAGGAAATGCAGGTCATTTTTGGATAGGTTCCGTCCGCTTCTTCTCTTGGCCAAGATAGCCAATCCTGACTCCACTTGTCTTATCAAGCACGTCATCACGTGTAAAAATGGCTGATCGGCACATCACATCGTATTATGTTATCAAACCCATGTCGATGTCGACCTTTATTATTTGATTTATTATTTGATGACGCGGTGTCTAACCCCTCGCGGTGTAACTTTACGAGGCTAAAGCATATTGAGCTTCGCCACATAGTTGTTTCCCCACAATCAGAATGTATATTGCACTATAATCGTTTTCTGCTTTACTCTCGCTCATGCAGTCTGCTATGCTGTGCCTCAATCTCTATCGAGCAATGATTCATCGTGGTCGCTCTTGTCGTATTGTTATTGTGAAATTAAATGAGTCATCAAAGTTGTTGGTTTCTAATATAAAGGCTGCCCGTGACTGAAACCATCGAGAAGTCCCGCGTGGCAGATAAGATCAACGAAATCGATCAAGCAATCGACACTCAATGCTCAACATACGCATTCACTACTTAAATCGCTACAACTAGTACATTGACGCAGGATCGAACCTGCGTTGCCCAAGTGGTAATCGAGTATTCTACCGCTGAACCACAAATGAGTTCTCCTAGTTTATTGGAGTATCCAAGAGGTACTCAAACAGGCGAGGCATCCGACCAATCCATTCATGATTTCGCTGCTAGCCACATTATGGAGTGTTGAAATATGGAGTGATGCCACCAAATTGGAGAATAATAGACAATTGTTTTGATTGTGAAGCGCACTGATACAGACAAGATCAACGCAACCGATGAAACATTGACAATTAATGCACAGCATATGCATTCACTACTTAAACCGCTGGAACTAGTGCATTGGCCGGGAATCGAACCCGTATTGCATTACGTCTTGTAATGCAAACAGTCACTGTATAAAGACTCTTCACGTGTAGAGTGCTGGGATGTGGAGTGATGTCACCAAGTAGAAAAAATGAGATAAAAATGTTATGATTGTATCAGGTAGTGATGCAAGTCATACAATGGTATCACGTCTTGTAATGCAAACAGTCACTCTGGATAGACTCCTCAGCAAAACGCACGGTAGCGGATGAAGTGCCCGCCATCTAAGCTTCTATGGGATGACTCAGTTGTATTCGGAACGTTCATTATACGAGGCACCACTTTGGTTCGTGACTATATCATCAGGAAGTCCCGCGTGGCAGACAAGAGTAGCGCGATCAATCAAACAATTCCACACTCAACGCGCAACAAACGCATTCACCACTCAAACCGCTACAATTAGTAGTGCATTGGTCGGGGATCGAACCCGAATGGCCACGTGCCAGCCAAGCATTCTACCACTGAGCCACCAATGAGTTCTGCAAACTCACTGCCAAAACTACGAGGTCGCTGAATTTCCGACCAATCTCATTATGACTGCGCTGCTGCCCCGAATTAGGTGTTTGGATGTGGAGTGACGCCACTAAGTTGAGAGGGAAAGTCTTATATTTCTGAATAGAAGAACGAAGAGAAAGATACTCCGGTCTCCTTTGCTCCTCCTCAAAATCTAAAAACTATCTATTCAATGGGATTATAGGATTTTCTTGTATTGCTCATTACATGAACCACGAGATGGCTGCACAGAGCACTAGGAGCTTCACAGTCACTGGCTTCACTTTGCCTGTTTCCATGGTTTACATTGAAAATATTTATAGCAGAGGTGCAGCTTTCGCATTTGTATCACGTCCTGTAATGTACGCCAGATTTTATGATTTCGGTGCTAGTCACATTATGAAGTGTGGGAGATGGAGTGATGCCACCAAATCAAATAATTGAATAGTAAATTATTATGATTGTGTCAAGTAGTGATGCAGCTCATATATTAGTGTCACGTATTGTAATGCAAACAGCCATTATGTATTCAATCCTCACATATAGATGTGCAATGGTGCAAAAATTAACAAAGTGCACAGTATCGGATCAAGTACCCGCCATCTGAAAACCACCGGATGGCCCACACATCTACTCCGCTAGAAAAAACAATCTCTTTCAACCTTAGCACCTTGGTTACGCTTGGAATGTAGTAATTTCGAAGGAGCACGGCAAACAATGGGAAGAAACAGCACGAATTTCCAACAGATTTTTTACTTCCATTGAAACAAGCCATCGATCAGTTTGGTTTGTGACTATATCATCAAGATGTTCCGCGTGGCAAACAGGAGTAACGCAATGTTAAACAATTGACACTCATCGCACAACACACGCATCACCACTCAAATCGCTACTATGAGCACTCTGAAGATTTTTATCTTACAGAGCATTATCCAATTTCATCTTAATGAACAACGCGTCCAACTTCAGTCGAACAGGCCTTATGAACCATAGATGCTACACTCAAAGACGATTTATTCATTCTCAAGATAATAGCAAGAAAAGGAGTCATATAGAGGATAATATCGCTTCAAGCTTCCTACAAAGTCGTATAAACGTCTTTTTCAACGACAGAACTATTGCAGACACTCCTCGCAGACATCGAAGAGCCCCCCACGTTCCATCAATTTCAGTTTTTATCATTGTCATTCAGAATGATAGTAATCACTGTTCGCAGACGCATCTTATTCTTCAACCACTCTGCCAAATGGGGTAGACTTCCGCGTGGCCGAAGCATGGTGAGTTACCTGCCGATTAGTTCCTATTCCTTCCTTCTGTAAGCACTGCGCGACTAATCACATTCATTGTTTAGGCGTTCGAGTCTAGTTCTGGAGACAGGCAGCAAGCCAAAAGATCTGTCTACACAGCTGAAACTGATGCCCGATGGACAGCATTGATAGCAAACAAAAAGGGCATGGGCAGCTCATCACAAATTTTTTCACCTGGAATATGCTGTTGGAATCAAGAAGTCTTTTTCGATAATAAAAGAGTTCTTGCTCCTTTGTGCAAAAAGAAACTGATTTATTTCTTGGCTGAAGATCTATTAATGTTAACTTGAACTCTAAAGTTCCTATAGGTATTTTTTTTGGAGTGATACAATTACAGAGTGATAGAAGTCTATCGAATTATCAGTTTTGTCATTCCGCACAGGGGTGACTCATTTCAGTGGCATAATGTTTGCGAAACCGATCTTCCCCTATGGTGCAGAAATTTGAAAAAGGTCAGCCGAAAATTGACATGTTGTTTAATATTTGTAAGTAGATAATATGATCTGTCTCTCATTTCATCCTCTTAAAGCCCTCTAGAAGTTTACACCCACAACAAAGGTGTCAATTGAACGTTGCTGTATCAATCTAGACAAAAAACGCCGCAAATTGCCTTCGATACTACTGTAACATTTTCACCATTGTATAACAGTAAAAATTATTCTTTGTTCACAAAACTGCTGTTCAAAATAGGTTGAGCTTTGGATTACAATAAAACGCACCACGAATGCCCCTCCTCAAGTGAATCAGTTTTTTTTTGTGAAAAACATTGCATAGTATCTATTAATGCTAGGTGGTATCCAAAACTTTGAATCCGAGCAAAAGCTGAACTCGCCGGAAATAGCTTCATTCTTGTCGGCGGCGAGAGTTTGAGACCTTCTACGGAAGCCTCTCTAATGCAGTGCCTAGCGCGCCCCTTCAAGAAGGGTAGAGCAAGGGTTCAAGTTCCGCTGGAGGTTGGAAGTTTTGAATATCGCTTACCATTGTTAGATATGTGCATGTGACATCATATCACTGCTAAAGAAACAGTTAAATGGAGAATCCTAGTCGATTATATATCGTATTATTTTTTTATTCTGTGAGCGCTGTGAAACTAACCACATCGATTGTATGGGCGGTTGAGTCGAATGAGGACGAGTGGCAGCAAGCTAAGAGATCAATTTGTTTGACTGGAGGAACCGGACTCAGTAAGCACACCCGTCGCAATCTGTTGCGCGAAAAGTCCGCCTCGGTGAAGGGCGATGACCGTTCGGCCCCATTACGCTTTATACCAATCGCCTTTCGTCGTGGTGTCATATAATTTTGTTCGGATCGTCTCGCTTCACTTTACGTGTCCATACCTGATAGACATTACTGCTAATATCGTCTCGTCATTGCATTCTTTGAAATAATGATGTAAATGCCTTTATTTCGAGTGTCTTATTAAGACCACGCTCAAATTCCAATAGATCCTTTCATTATTGTTTGGGCCAATTGTCATGATCTATTGAAATTTGAGCGTGCCCTTGATAAAACACTCGAAATAAAGGTATAATAAGACAAAAATACCAGCCAAAGAGCAATCGAGTGTACAACACTCTGTGTTAAGTGAAAATTTCTCTTGACATAGAGTGTAGAACGTTCGTCTTCGATAACTCTCTGTAGAGAGAGTAGGGCTCCCGACATTACTGACTAATAAAGAGATCAAAAGACGACGGGTTCGGCCCGACTGACGAGTCTGTAACGACGAAAACACGTGTATCGCGCTGTACAAGAGTCCATACCAGGGCGCATGACAAGTTGGCTCAAATAATAATGAAAGCATGTGAATGCCGTTTGTATAATAATCTGGCCCTGGTCAGCCAAAACCTGAGAAGAAAAAGTGGTACGCAAAAATCCATTCTCAGCAGTTGAACCCGCATTTCACTCATATCGGGTGTACTGACAGCACGCGCCCCCGATGTGAGTGAAACGCGGGTTCAATTCCCGTCTGAGGCTAATTTTTGCGCACCACTCAATCCACATCATACCAGTGCTAGAAAGCAGTCAAATAAAAGAAATGTAGGTAGTTTCCAAACAGATTACGTCGGCTTCTCCACTGGGCAAGGTAATCATTCCTTACGTACCTATATCACTAAACACATTGTATCGTGTAAAATTGGCTGGTCGTCACATTACACCGTGTCATGCTATCAAACCCATGTCGACCAATTATTTATGATGACGCGGTGGCTACCCCTTCCGTTGCAAACGTTTACGGGGCAA